AGTGGCCGCAACATGTTCTCACAGAAAATAAACTTTTATTAAGTTCAGACTGTTCATTAGTTCCTTTCGATACAGTTATCCGATAATTGAATGGCTGCCGTGCATCTTAAGTATATGTTTCAATTCACGCCAGTACGAGATCAGTTTATTTTCTTTAAATAACAAATAAAATGCATTTGTTTGTCTTTCAGAATAAGAGTCCCCTCCACGGGATCAGTTGGCTGAGGGTCGTGCTGGATGAAGGACACATCATAAGAAACCCAAACGCACAGATGAGTAAAGCCGTGTTGGACCTGAAAGCAAACCGTCGCTGGATTCTGTCAGGTACACCAGCCTGTAAACACCCCAGCACATGAGAATTATTATTCATCATCTATTCAAAAAAAGTGGAAACCGCTTATATTGATAGTGTGTGAGGTTCGGTCAGACTGATCACTATAAACAGGAGATTTGTTTTCTTAATTTCTATTGCAGATTCTCTCTCTCTGTCATTTTTAATATTTTTATTCATTTCAACCACCACAAAATACTCCAGGTACTCCGATCCAGAACAGTGTGAAAGACCTGTGGATGCTGGTGGCTTTCTTACGTCTGAAGCCATTCGATGTACGAGAGTGGTGGAACAGAGTGATCCAGAGACCCACGACTCAGGGAGACAGGGACGGCCTGCAGTGAGTGTTCCCTCATACTGTATATTACATTGCTACAGGGTTGTACACCACACCACAGATGGAGCCATTTACTGGAAGTCTGAGTGAAGCTATATCTGTGTTGGATTATTATTCCATTCAAATATTATTCATTTATAACATTTAAATTCACGGTTACAGTTGCCAGAAACAGACAGAGGCGACTGGAGCCAAATCAAATATTTCTAAAATGATGCTGTGTGCAGGAACCTTCAGACCCTGGTGAAGTGCATCACCCTGCGGAGGACCAAGAGCAGTGAGGCGAATGGGCGCCCCCTTGTGTCCCTGCCTGAGAAGACTGTATATGTGGAGCAGGTGGAGCTGAGCCAGCAAGAGAGAGAGGAGTACGAGCTGGCACGCAACGAAGGAAGAAACACCATCGGCAGGTGTGTGTGTGTGTGTGTGTGTGTGTGTGTGTGTGTGTGTGTGTGTGTTTTGTATAGGATTGTATTGATATATTGTTTTGTTTAATTTTGTGTGTAGATATGTAACAGAGGGGTCAGTGCTGAGGAACTATGCTGATGTGTTGGCCATCCTGATGAGGCTAAGACAACACTGCTGCCACCCTGATCTACTGGCCAAGATTTCCTCAGATTTAGGTAAAAGCTCCTTTTCCTCTGTTTTTAAAAAGTCCTCTTGCTTAAAAAACTTAGTGAGAATTTTAGATTCACAGTAGAACTTTAACACTTAAAATCATTAAACTGTATATTACAACTATAATGCTCTGTGTGCACTGTGTGGAAATGATTTGTATTTGAATCAAATATTCCTTCTCCGTGCTCTCACTTTGTCTGTAGGTGCGGCAGCGACGCCTTCAGAGCTGCGGGAGCGTCTGATCGAGAAGCTGCGGTTGGTGTTGGCCAGCGGCTCTGATGAAGAGTGCTCTGTGTGTCTGGACTCGGTCCGTCTCCCCGTCATTACACACTGTGCACATGTTTACTGCCGGCCCTGCATCGCACAGGTCATCAGCACCGAGAAGGTACATGTGCTGCCGTGAACAGAGAGGAGGGGCTTGTGCTTACATTACAATTTGAGCTCATTGGAAAAAGTTTACTCTAAAATATAAGATGATTATTTAGCTGTTCATTTCTGTTCATGTGCATGAAGGAGACGGCACGTTGTCCTCTCTGTCGAAGTGAGATCAAGACCAAGGAGCTTGTAGAGTTTCCACAGGAGGAAATGGAAGAAGAGAACAGTATGAAGTCTGAGAGGTGGAGGACAAGCTCAAAGGTACACTGCTAAAACCACCAAACAGATAATGATAATTATTCTGTAGACTATGAAAATGCAGGAAATAATTCATTTGAAAGCTAAAAGAAAATTGTGTTTGAATCGATGCTCTGTGGCAGAATCGAGTCAGTTCTGTAAATCAGTTTAGTAACTTAAACATTCTGCATCTTAACATTATATGTAACAGAAATTGTTCACCATATTGATTCATTGATGCTTAAATCAGCACAGGAAATGATTTCTTTTTTTAATGAATATTTTATATTTTTCTGCCTTTCACATGATCAACATCATGATTAAAAATGTCTCCTAAATTTGTTTTTAAATCCTTCTAATTGAAAATGAATTCCTTCCTTTCATACATAATCAAAAAGGCCTCAAGTGTTTGTATTTATGATCCTGGTCGCGTTTGTGACTCTTTCTCTTCTTCTTTACTCAGAAGCCACGAGAAAAGTATTCACACCGGCAGTGTCACAAAATGGTACGTTACCATTTGACCTCGGTGTTGTTTGTCTGTGTCTCTGCAGGTGCAGGCGCTGATGGAAAACCTGCTCAGGCTGCGAAGTGAAGACGGCAGCGTTAAAAGTTTGGTCGTCTCTCAGTTCACACGTTTCCTCACCATACTGGAGACCCCACTCAGGTAACACACACACACAATCACACTGCGCCAGGGTTGGGTTGTTTTGATATCTCTACTGTAAACACCTCTCACAATGTAGCTCCCCTCTGACTCATTCATTTCATTATTGTGGTGGAAAATTGTGGTTAGAGGTAAAACATATATAAGTTTCTCCATTTACATTATTTCACAGTCATCGTATTACAAAATGAAACACCTGGTCTGGACTGTACATGAATCAAACTATATGTTTGTTAAGACACGGGCTGGGAGAGAAAGCCTGAGGGTCTGAGCAGTCTCTGCACAGTGCAGGGAGGATGTTGCAGTTACACAGTGAAGTTTACACCAAAGTCATACAAGCAGAAAAGGAGAAAAGATTAAAAACTTTCTCACATTGACCTAATTAACCTTTAACAATTCCTATTATTTGTTTTCATCTCATCTTCGTCCTCTTCCCACTTCACCAGAGAACATGGTTTCACTTTTGTGCGTTTCGACGGCACCATGAGCCAAAAGAGGAGGACGCAGGTGATCCGGGAGTTTCAGAGCTCCGTGGCCGATGGCCCCGCCATCATGCTGCTGTCACTCAAAGCTGGAGGGGTGGGGCTCAACTTGACCGCCGCCTCTCGTGTTTTCCTCATGGACCCTGTAAGTACCAATGTCAACAAGGTATTGGTAGTGGAAGTTATACTCTAAAATAAAACACTGTGTACTGTATCTTAAAAGCTTTGTGAGTTTTATAAAACACATTGGATGTAGCCCGTCAAATCTTAAGCGATAAACTGCTCCACAGTTGGGTTCTCACGCCAACAGATAGGTTGTATGGTTGCAGGGATCCTAAGTGTCTGTGGTCTCAAACGTACGTGTGATTGCATGTGTTTTAGGCCTGGAACCCAGCCACTGAGGAGCAGTGTATTGACCGCTGCCACCGTCTGGGCCAGAACAAGAAAGTCATCGTCACCAAGGTCAGAAAACTCAGACTCCATGTTTGTAAAGTTGTTTTAGGGTTTGCACTGAAAGTTGTATAGCAAGTTCTGCACTGTCTGTTTTACTGACAGCGGGAAATGTTTGCTCTGTGTGTTGTGATTTATGTGATCTATCATTATTTTCAAATGATTTCTTATAAACATATCAATCAGTTTTACTATAGAGATGGATACACAAGAAAGGTCGTTCACCGAGGAATATTTAGTTTGTGTGTTTATTTTCATTTTGTGTGTGTTGCTGCAGTTTATTGTGAAGAATTCAGTCGAGGAGAACATGGTGAAGATCCAGAGGCAGAAGCAGGACCTGGTGGAGAAGGCTTTTGGCTCCACAAACACGGACAGGAAAACGTCTCGCATTCATGACATCAGAGCTCTGATGGAGCTGTAGACGTCTGAAACTGGACCTGAACATTAACAAGGAAACAACACAAACACTGAACTGTACCAACGGTTCATTTTGGTGTCAGACATTTTCAAAGGTTTCTTTTTTTTTTATAGTTGCTCATTAATGTTCTCCATTCTGTTTTATTTAATGAGTCACATTTTGATACAGATTCATACGCACGTTTGGACCAATTACAAGTTTTCATTGTCGATCATTTGTGATGTAGAGTTTGTCTTTGCTTATGTTTGATTATAGAAAACATAAAAACTGGGCCAATACAGGGAGGTGGCTGATGAAGAAATAAACATCCTCCTCCTCCTCTTGCAGAAAGAGATGCAGGACATTGATACTGAGCCTCTGTAGCTACTGTTTCTAACCAGAGCGGCTTTCAGAACGTCGCTGCTCTTCTGCTTGTTCACTAATGTTTGTCATCGTAAACTCAAAGTTTGAGTTTGTCAGTGTTGGTTAGATAAATCTAGAAATGTGAAAACCATCTTGTGCTCTTGTTATAATTATGTTCGTACATATTTAACAAATAATTAGCTGCAGCCCTCCATCTAGAAATACTGTCCTGCAATTGTAGCCTCCACCAACCAGTGTGGTTTCAGTCCAACACATTTTATTTCCACACTCACGAGGTCTGTGACTGTTGACCTGACTGTTGATGAATGAAATCTAATCAGTTCATCTTCGAGTCAAAGTGACAACTGGTAAATGTTTGAAGAAATTCTTAAAGGCAGACTTGAGATGTGTTCAAGAGGCCACCGTGACTTTGACCACCCGGATCTAATTATATAATCTTTATGTTGTGTGTCTAAGTGAACATTTGTACCAGATTTGAGAGGATTCCCTCAAGGCTTTCTTTAGGTAAAGCACTCATAAGGTAAAAATGGGGTTTGTAAGCTCACAGTGATGTTTACCATCCTCCACCAAAATATAATCGGTTCATCTTTGAGTCCAAGTGAGCGTTTTTACCAAACTTGTAGAAATTCCCTCATGGCGTTCTTCAGATATCGTGTTCACAGAAATACCAATGTACGAGCAGACAGTCTGGAAACATGCTTAAAATGAAACATGACAGGAAGCGTGGATTGAAGTTTTTTACATTTCTTTATTAGCGCTTTAACGGGGATGGTCAGTAAACAGCTGGGGAACAGGACTACACATGTTATACTTCCATCATTGTGCGGTCCAGGATTTATCAAACAAGATAAATATGATCACACATGGATTTTGAAACTTGTCTGCATCCTGCAGGAAGGTGTATCGAGGAGAAACTAGTGAATTATCTCTATTGTTAGAGCCGATTACTGAAAGAGCACACGTGGAGTAAAGTAAATGAGGTAACAGGAAAGCTGGGCCTCAACAAAGTTACAGTGAATGAGTACATGTAAACAGTGAGAGGCAATAAGGCATCTGGTTATACGACACAGGAAGTGATGAAACCCAGACGATGGCACAAAGACACACGGAGGTGGAGGATGTAACATGCAGGAGACGGAGGCGTTTTAATCCCACACGGACACATTAAATAAAATAAAGGACAACATCACTTTAGGTGGAAGAACGACATCACCGACCACGTTTAAACACTGTGCCATGCAAACGCAACACAACAGGCCTAGAGAACCTAATACGATACGGGACGAAGCTGCGGTCGCAGGGAGCTGGTGAGCGTCAGAGGCACAGACGTGGATCTGTAACCTGGTGAGGTGAACACTGTCGGAATGAAGTGAGATGGTTTCAACTGGCTGAGAAAAGAGGAGGATCAGCCAGTTGCTGCATATTTACTCCATAGTGGTTCAGGTAGAGATTTATTACAGTGGAGTTGTGGTGAAAATCCAGAAACAACTTTTATTTTAACGTATTGACGGACTTGGACCATTGTTGTTTTTCTGTTGTTGCTGAAATTTTCCACAGGTTTGGAAGACTCAGGACCATGAATCCATCAGATGCACAAGAACATTTTTAAAGGAAGAGTTTGACATTTTGGGGACTCTAGTTCGCTTTGTGATGGAGAGGGTAAATAAAGTGAGTGCACAATGACTTAAAACAGCTCTGTACAAAGGCAACGCAATCCACAACCAGCAACTATGAAGCTCACTAACAAGTTGTATGTTGTTTGTTTAAACCAAATTAAATGTATCAATGAAAATTTGCCATTTAACGAGTGCTTGTGTTGCATTTTTTGGCCTCCAGCAGTTTCTACCAGCCACAGAAAGTTGGGAAATGTGTACGGCCAAGAAACTATTTAGTGCATAACCACACATGAAACAGCAAATTCTCTTTTACACACTTGAACTAACAGAATAAAACAGCAGTTCTTGTTCCGTTACCTTTGCACAGAACCTCGAAGTTTCCATCATACCCAACTTTGTAATTCAGTCACATGGCATTTCCACATGTTGTTCCCTTCCTCAGCAGTAAAGTGCATCTACTAACTTATCGCCATGATCTCACAAATGTTTAATCTCTGCCTGGAGTCGCAACAAATGTTTGCCAGGGTCAAAAGCAACATTCAAATTGAAAACTTGCTGCAGCTTCGGGCGATCACGGTCAACAGCTCAGCAGAGGAGCATCGGTTTGGCCCCGTGTTTTGTCATTCTGAGCAGACAGTGATTAGAAAATGTGTGAGATTACAGGAAGATGTCCCCCACAGTCAGATACTGTTAGATATGATATTTGATTGGTTTAATTCAGGTTTGACCAAATCACAGAGTAATGCACAGAGCTGAGGTTTTCCTGGTTTTTATTCTAAGCTTTTTTCCTATTTAACATGAAGACATGTAGGAGGGGCATCAGTCTGTGCAAAAACGCAAATTGAATAAGCACATTTTCCAAAATGTCAAACTTGTCTTTAAAGAGAAATAAATGAATGTTAGAGTGCGCATGAGAAACTGTGTCAACTCTGTCATTCACACAACGTGATGCAGAGAGTGAGGCCGAAAGTTTGTTCAGTCACTTGCTAGTCAAGCCTCTGTGACTGAGCTGAGCAGTGGTTATACCTCCACCTCCACAGAGCTTCACACAGCTCGCTCTCTCTCTCTCTCTCTCTCTCCATCCATCCGTCCGTCGCACTCCCTCACCCACAACCGCTACTTCAAGAAGGAGTCCAGCTTCCGCTCGATGTTGGCGAAGGAGTCGTCGCCCATGTAGTCGATCTGGCCGGCTTCCCAGCGCTGCTTCCTTTCCTCGGAGGAAACCTTCTGTGCAGGAGCAGAGGGCGCCGGCTGTGCGCTCACATCCTCCTGAAGCTTATCCTGCGTGACAGAGAGACAGAGAAAGAGAGAGAGACAATGAATCCTTAAGTGAGAGCCATACTTTATAAGGACTGGATTTTCCCCAGGTTCAGCCATGCTCGGCTTTCCCTCAGCCACAGATTCCCCACAGGGGGAATTTGTTCTTTTCTTCCCTCGAGACACAAATGTTATGTGCAGGCGTTTCATCAGAAGAGTCAAAGTGCAACAAGACTTTTTATGACACTCACAGATAAGAGATGATGAAGAGGACATGAACTCTGCAAGTGGACCAGGACTCAAAGCCTCGGTGATGTAAATTCTGCATTGAGAAAAGCCAAAATATTCTCAATGCATAATTTGGAGCCAGGAAGGATCCGCCTGGTGGAGCCTCCGCTGCTCAAGTGTGGAAGGACACGTTTGATGCCCGCATTTGGAGGAGCCTTCGAATGGGGACAGCCTAGTCACGCTGCTGTGACGTATTCGGCCTTAAAATGGAGCCTCTGAGGGACGTGGCCCCCGAACTGAGACACAGCTTATGAAACTCTGAGGGGCTTAGGTGCCCAACCTGGTCTGATTTGATAAATGTCACCTACTGTCTTCAGATTCTGCTAACGAAACGACCTCCGGTTGCTTCAGACTCAAGAGAAATTTGGGGAAATTCAGTGTGTCATCGTTGTGTAACCGTCACAGTGATCACACAGTGATAACGCCACCAAGGAGGTTATGTTTTCACCTCTCTGTGCCAGTTTGTCTGATTGCCAGCAGGATTACGCAAAAAAAACAAAACGATTTCCACAAAAACTTGATGGAAAGACTGGACATGGGCCAAAAAAGAAACCAATTAGTACTCAAGTTCCATAGAATTGCTTACAGACAATTTTCCAGAGAATCATTTGTGAGTAATCCTGATGAAACAAATATTAAGGGAACTGATATTTGAGTGTGAGTAATTTGGTGCAGATCCAAATGTGGTTTAAAACTGTTGGGCCTTGGCAGAGGTAGACACATCACCGAGTGCCATTCTACTTGGCACAGTGTCACAAGAAACTGAGAAAAATAAAAAAAAGAATATCTGCTCGCTGTTGTTCGTTTTCGTCAACCACTCAAGTCAGTTTTTTATTTGACATTTGTTGTAGATAGTGACTGAGTAAAGGTTTTTTAAATTGTGTCCAAAACTGGGTTATATGGAGGCCACAGTGACCTTTTACCAAAAATAAGTGAATGTTTGTGGCACATTTAAAGAAATTCCTCCCTGAGATGTCATGTTCAGGAGAGTGGGACAGACACACAACCTGAAAACACAAGGTCGTCTGTGTGGAGGCAGAAAAACGCTGCACAAACACCGGGTGTCTGTATAAACATGTCAGCGTGACACAATGAGACTCAGCTTCAGGCAAATGAGCAAAGCTGCAGGATTTGGCGACACAACAGATCTGCCTTTGACCAACTCGCAACACCACAGTGTTGCTACAACAGTCAACATGGCAACTTCCAGCTACTGCGTTAAGTTCTGAACGACTGTTGCCAGCCTGGCGTCCTTTGTGTTCCAGCGACGACAGGACAGGCAACCGACCTCAGCTGAGGAATGTGGAACCAATCAACTTTTACAACTAGACTGGAGCTCGCCAGCATTTTAATCTGGAGCTTGAAAACGCTTAAAGCTCCGATATGTGGCACTGTCACAGCTCGGTGCCCACACACCATGACATGACAGATTCACACCATGACATGACAGATTCACACCTCTGAGATACCTGCCAGAGAGAGGTGAGTTTATCGGGTTTTTAGAGGTTTCCACACATTCGGGACAATTATGCAATAAACACACACACTTTCGACGGGAATCCTCACTTATGATTTAAACCACGCCTATAACCACACACTATTCTTTCCCCAACATGAGTGGTGACATACTTTCTGGCTCTCCTCTGTGAAGCCGCTGTTGAAGGGCGTGTCCCCGTAGGCCTGCTGCAGCAGAGGCAGCACAGACTTGGAGTACAGCTGCCACCACATGAGCAGGTAGTCCGGGTGCAGGTGGCACTGGTCAGGTGACAGGGCGTGACCTCTGACCTCGCCCTTCTCAGCGTCAAAGGAGTAGCTCCATGGCTTCACCTTGCCCAGGAAGTGCACTACCTTCGCGTTACTGCCGTACCTGTCCAACAAATTACAAATTAAAAAGTGACAAGACCGTGAGATGACAAGAAGAGCGTGAGAAAGAAAAGAAGGAAAGAGGGAGCCGCAGTATGCGTGTGTGTGTGTACTGACTCTTTGAAAGCTGGCAGGTAGGAGTAGATGGAGACACTGCTGAGGTTGTAAATGAAAGGGAGGTGTTTAGAAATATCTGCCGTTGCCCAGGTGTTAAAGAAACTGTTGAGAACCCCCTGATCTCCACCTGCGGACAAAGACACACACACGGATGGACACACGGACACACACACAATTTTAGACACATTCACGGTTCATTTAGACAGACTGCAAAGAGTTGTGTTTCAGCTTTTGCGCTACAGGATACAACCATTTATCATTTATACTCTACTTTTATGGCTGTTTGAATCCAATGTTACAATAAATCGAAATGTTTAAACACCACACACACAATATTTTCTCATACTCCGTGATCAGTGCTTCCCTTCACACTGTGAACCTCTCCGACAAACAGCATTGCTATGAGAGGATGCAGCATAAAGTGAGTGACCAGTGGTTGGTGGCTGCCACGTTTCAAAAAGCTCCTCTACAGACTGACGGTATGTTTGAGGTCTGACCCACAAAACATCCATGTCATTTAAAACTGTGGATTGAATCAGTTACGTCTTTCATTTCTTCTGGTTTCTTCAGATTCTGACTAACGATCCTCTGATGACCTGTGAAAGAGAGAAAAAAAAATATTCGTGTCTCACCGTCAAAGCTGCCGTTTTCTCCACAGAACGTGAGCAGCTTCTCGTGCGTCTCATTGGACGGTCTGAAGACAAAAACCCCAGAGTTGAAACAGTCCGGCCAACCAGGATCGGGCGCAGCGGAGAGCTCCTCCCTCTCGAAGAGTTCATCTATATTTGACAGCACCTGGACACATTCAAAGAACGTTACTCACTTTCTGACTTGAAGTTTCACGAAACGTGTATTTAACACATTTAAAATGTGGAGCCCAAATCTCTTTCTCCGTTTGCGTCTCACCAGTGTGTCAGCGTCCATGAACACACACTTGCTGTAGTGTGTGAGAGTCCAGCAGTGCAGTTTGGTGAATGTCACTCCCAGGTCCGGACGCTTCATCAGGGCCAGATGAGCCACATCACCTGAGTCCATGATGTCCACCACACACACCTCATCGAAAATGGAGCCAAGTGCGCCTCTACAACACACACACGATTTACATGACTGTATAGTTGGATCAATGTGTGACTGGTGGCGTCACTGATGTGCGTTACCTGCAGGGTTCTGCGACGTGAGGCCCGATGAGTACAACCAATTTCTTGGTTGTGTTGTGCTTTCGCAACGACTGCCCAAGAACCATCGCTCCCCTGGCGTAGCTGTCATTTGTCGCTAATGTCACAAAAGCTTGGTCTGCTGGACACACACACAGACACACAAGCATTAACCATGACTGGTGTAAGGGAAATGTTACATGTTGATCATGCAGAATGCACTCATGTTCGTTTCCTCTATCATTGATCATGATTGAATCTTTACAATGCTACCTTGATCATGCTGAGTCCTGTGCAACTGATTGGATCTTGACCTGATTGCCTCAACTAAGGCATTGTTGCCCTGATGTCATCAGAACATCCTGACCTTTGGCTCAGAAACAACCTCAACCAGAGGGGGAGGAACGAGCCAGATGTATAAAGAGAAAGAACAGCTTCCCATCGGGGTGCATATTACAAACTAACCTTT